ACCTGCAAAATGATACCAAACTCGACTATACTTGCTACATTGAAAATCTTGAGCAACACCCTACCCCCGCTACCCCTAAGGGCAAAATTTTCAAAATTGACCATAATTATTGTAACCCCTCATATCTAAGAAGGTTGCCGCAAACAGATTTCAAATATCTCAAATGGTTGAAAAGTTAAGGGGGCGAGGGTGTAAGTTACTTTTCAGCCACCCTGTATTCACAACTGCTTGATCAGTAGGTGGCGATCACAATCAGGTAGATGACAGTACTAAGTACTATTAGTTTTACGATATTGGTATAAGAAGGAATACGGCATCTCGTTAAACTATACATACAAGAATTAAAAATGGTCTTCTGTTTTTCGTCGCCATTCACTCCTCCTCACACTTCTTACAACTAATTTACATTACTAATGCCAGCGAGTGTATTTATTACACACGTATGACAAAATTATGATAGTTTTCTTTTCTGTACATAGGGATCGGGATCCTCTTCTACCCATACCAGAGTCATTTCCTGACCTTCTCCGTTGAGGAACACCCGAACACCTCCTAATAACTCTACCCTGTATACGTCATCTCCTCCTTAACTTTTCATGTAAGGGTCTTCCCCTAATCCCCTCCTGTTATCATCTCACATACTATGTATGAATCATCATCAAACATTCTCTTGAATAGCACACAATCTCCTTTTTAGCCTTTCCTCGAAAGAACTATTCTCTAATTTATTTTACTGTAACGAACATATCCTAACCCCTTCTAATATAAGTTATATCTTAAAAACTTCGTAATAAGGTTATTTCCTAGCTTTTCTCTATGTTTTGAAAAATTATAATCATACGGTTGAAAGTGTGTCGTCTTTCAACATACAGTATTACTGTAATCATCACTTCTAATATAAGTTATATCTTAAAAACTTCGTAATAAGGTTATTTCCTAGCTTTTCTCTATGTTTTGGCATACTATAATCATACGGTTGAAAGTGTGTCGTCTTTTAACATACACAGTGTGTAGTACTGTAATCATCACTACCTAACCCCTGTCAAGATCTCCCTCCTAGAGGTTTCTCCTAATATCTTAAAGTAGTTATCTGATAACAGCAGTCAACCTTTTACTTTGAGGATTTTTCTTCCTAACCTCCTGCTAACCATCTCCTGAGGGTGCTTTCTCTTCCTGATCTGCTATAATAGCCATCTGCTAAACATACTCTTGAAACGGATTCTATTCCTAATCACCTATAATCGTAATTTTCTACTTTTTTGACAAAAAACCTAACATTTTTCCTGAAAGGATCGTAATTTAGGATCCTCTTTTTAGTGCACATATACACTTCTTTATTTTTCTCTATACCTATACTATTTTAACGTTTTACTGAACATTTGTTTTCCATCTCGTCACCTATGGTGTGAGGTAGATTCCGTTATCGCCAACCGATCAAGAAACCAACCACATCTACAACAGCGTCCGCCGGACGTATAGATGCGCTAATGGCTTACGTCACAACCTGTTAGTGAGCTTTATGCAAATATCAAAGTTGAGCTATAATGGCCTCAATGTTTGCATGCACTAACGAGATCCTGCTCGACGAATAATTTCACATTTATTTATGACCACTTACCCAGACGACGGCTACGGCGAGGTACCGCGATCGCGGTCGTGCTGTCGTATCGACCTGTCCGCTGCGATACTGATATCCTGGCACCCTCTCAATTTTGGCCACTTAATTTTATCCTCAAGCCATAAAATACATTTTATTCTATTTGAGCACAAAATGTTTACAACAGCGATGTTGGCAATTATTGTCGACGTGAGTTTATTTTCCCGATATCACCCCTTGTGATTTATTCTCTTGAGACGCACGTAGAACATTAACCACCGGACATGTAACAATTTAGAAGATTAACGAGGAGAGAACATTATGGGACGATTTTTCAGTATTCTAACGAAATACTGGACGACAAATTGGTGAAACTTGGACATCTCCTTCCAATAGAGGGCATGTAGAAATCTTATAGCTAGTCAGGAGATACCAGTAGTACTGTGTTTTTAATGTAAGCTAAATGTTCAATTTTGTGAGTTTAATAACCAAACAATTGAACTAATTATATACTCTATGTATATGTATATGTATACTCTATATATACCTTATTTTCCAAAGCAATTGGATCTACCAAACCGCTATGTGGCTACTGTACATCTAAATTCAAACGTCATGTTAAAAGATAAATTAGAATTAAACTACTTCAATTGAAAATGTCAAGTCTAGTAGTGAGGTGGTAGGTACAATAATGCCGTACACTTACCATTTCCACCCGAATTTAAATTTTACTTATATATTATGACCAACACATTAACGTAAACTACCCTTTCTCCATATTATACCTACTCGATTCCCACACTTTGTGAGCATAATGGAGAGTTCTAATGTTTTGTTTGGATGTTTACTTTGACGTCATACATTCAATATTGGAGCTCCATTTACAGATTCAATAGATGAATCACGAATGTAAACAAATCCTAAATCCTTCCTAGTCTTGTTGTTGCGAACCCGCACTTATCTGATTAGACAACAAATTGAAATAATAATGGAATATGAATTTAACTCAAATTTACCTTCACACCTATTCAAAAATTGGAAAAGAAGTTGAGGGAAATAATTGTATCATAAAACAATTTTCCTCACTACCTACCCAATGAAACACTCATATTTTGACGGCAAGAAAAGCAAATAATTTAGTATTTAAGTTTAAGTAGGCTAAGGATATTTTCCGGGATTAAAATCCATGTTATCTTAATGTTAAGGACTCTTAAAACATATGCTTTTAATGTGTTCGACAACGTCCCAATACATATCTCAATTCCCTTTAATAGCCTTTAACTCAACTCTTGACCTATCCCAACCCCCATGGCAGTGGTGGCCCTCAGTACCTCGATAGTGAACTTTAAGTGCTGCTACCGAGGTTTTTCTGTACAGTATCTACAACCTAAACTGGAGGTAAAGGTGCAGGGCTACAGGCGCTATATGATCCTCCCCTGCACTCGCGTCAAATTAAGCCGAATTATCCCTGATGGGGATTAGAGCTGAGGGGGATACAATAGCCCAGACCCCTCTCGCTGACACTTCATTGTTTACCCACACTGACACGCCCTAACACTAGACAGACACTCTCTCACAACGATGTAACGTAAATCACTGTCCACCAGCATGTAGCACTAGGTGCTAAGGGTGGGTCCGATATCTCCTACAGTTACAACTACTAGACACTCTTTAACAACGATATAACGTAAATCACTGTCCACCAGCATGCAGCACTAGGTGCTAAGGGTGGGTCCGATATCTCCTACAGTTACAACTACTAGACACTCTTTAACAACGATATAACGTAAATCACTGTCCACCAGCATGCAGCACTAGGTGCTAAGGGTGGGTCCGATATCTCCTACAGTTACAACTACTAGACACTCTTTAACAACGATATAACGTAAATCACTGTCCACCAGCATGTAGCACTAGGTGCTGAGGGTGGGTCCGATATCTCCTACAGTTACAACTACTAGACACTCTTTAACAACGATATAACGTAAATCACTGTCCACCAGCATGCAGCACTAGGTGCTAAGGGTGGGTCCGATATCTCCTACAGTTACAACTACTAGACACTCTCTCACAACGATATAACGTAAATCACTGTCCACCAGCATGCAGCACTAGGTGCTAAGGGTGGGTCCAATATCTTCTACAGTTGCAACTACTAGACACTCTTTTACAACGATGTAACGTAAATCACTGTCCACCAGCATGCAGCACTAGGTGCTAAGGGTGGGTCCAATATCTTCTACAGTTGCAACTACTAGACACTCTTTTACAACGATGTAACGTAAATCACTGTCCACCAGCATGCAGCACTAGGTGCTAAGGGTGGGTCCAATATCTTCTACAGTTGCAACTACTAGACACTCTTTTACAACGATGTAACGTAAATCACTGTCCACCAGCATGCAGCACTAGGTGCTAAGGGTGGGACCGATATCTCCTACAGTTGCAACTACTAGACACTTTTACAACGATGTAACCTAAATCACTGTCCACCAGCATGCAGCACTAGGTGCTAAGGGTGGGTCCGATATCTTCTACAGTTGCAACTCAACATTGTATAAAACTGCAATAATCAAATGGAATGGCTATGTCAGCGCTTCATAAGTTGTGATGAAGTTTTGTTAATATGATTTAAGGGCCTCAAAGTCCTGATTCCCACACTTATAGGTTTCGAAATGCCTACATGATCTCATTTACTGCAAGAAAAATAAAATCTAAGAATATTTTTCATTACGTATGAATCCCATAATAAAGTAAATCAGTGTGTATTCATCCTGCGGAACGTACAGTATTAGCAATACAAGTTACCCTGGTGTGACAAAAATAATAAAATAATAAATAATTTAAACACTGGAGATTTATGGGAATTAAACAAGTTTTCAAAATGCATAAACAAAGCACACTTTAAGTTGTAAATGAGATGAGAAATTATCACTATGTTCTTAACAGGTAAACAAATCGATAGTATCATAAAAGTGACTCAGAAACTCCATGTATGTAACCTTATATGTGGTACTGAATTTGGTACCGATAAGCTTACCCAACTATCAGTGACTTTGATTTTGTTTTTGCAGTTGTTTTAATTGTTGAAGATAACTGTAGCGACGCTTAGTGTCTGGAAATATGTCAAGTATTAATTCGACTGAAGAGTATTTTCTCTCAAGCCAAACTGTACTGACGCTGAGTTCGTTGGTTGTTTGTTGTTGTTTGCTGTTGTTTCTATTGTTGTGTTTGTTGTTTATTGTTTCAGGACCTCTGATTCTGATTGTCCGGCCAGATGGCAAGTATTTGACAGAAGAGTCTTGTCTCACACTGCAACTGTCAATGGTGTTGTGTTGGTCGTTGAGTTTGCTGTTGTTTATATGTTTTTGTTTGTTGTTGTTTTGATTGTGGTTTGTTTCAGGAGCTCTGAGTGTCTGGGCAGATGGCCGGCAGCAGCTCCAAGTGTTTGACAGAAGAGTTTATCCTCCCAAGCCAACTGTCACTACTCAACCCCCTGGTACGTTTATAGTTAATCTGTATGCGTTGAGGCCTCATAAAAACTAAACAATATTGCGATTACAATGGTGAAATTTTTATAATAAAAAAAAATTTCAAAGTCATTATCTCAGAAACACAATTATGGTTGTGATCAGATTTACGGTAACTTACTCAGGGTGCCGTTAACATTTCTCCTTCTAAGGCAATTTCAACAAATTGTCTTGACGTAGAAACTAGAGACCTTCGTCCTAAAAAGTGTGGTTTAAAAAGCTCGGGTAAACTCATATTTTGACTCCCATTTCGTCTATGTTTCTGAAATTGTAGCATCACTTCGGTGAATCTTAAAACACGGTTAGCCCAAAGATCGAAGCTCCATAAGAAAAACATGACATTGGAGGAGATTATAAATAGAAGCAAGAATACGCGGAAAACATAAGTGTTTTCATACCTTGGTTAAATATGGTTTCACAATCAGTAAAAGTTTTATCCCGTAGTATTAAATCAATTTAATGTGCCTATTTTTAAGGGGGGAAGCCCAGAACCCCACTTCGCAAGATGCGTAAGACATGTATTTACGCATAACCTAATATTCATTACATTTACGTTAACCTTGGTAATGCTTCCTGAGGTTGATGTGCAAAGTACTCCACGATGTGTGACTACTAACAAAGTACTTATTGCAAAAGAATCGATTTGTCCACCTAAAATATTCCTGCAAATCAACACAGTGGCATGAACCGGCTAAATTAGCATAACAGAATTTACGACAGGTAAAAAAAGAAGGAACGAGTTTTATGACAGCGTAAATATTTTGATTGCTTGCTAAATATCTTTACCGTCTCGTAGTAACTACACTGTAAGAATAATTATACAACGGAGTGTTGCAGGTCGTTTATTTAAATTGCAGCACTTAATATGCATGGGTGACGCCGACGCCGACGCCCAGATACGGGTTTGATGAGGTTGTTGATGGGACATAAGATCAGATTACGCCTTACAAATTAGCGCGAATCGGACTAAACGAAGAACAGATTTAGATGTTTTCTCACCCGCTAATTGAGAACGATAAATTTTGATGCAAATTATTCACTGTAAATACCATTACAAGTGTCCTTTAAAATTGTCTTTCCCTTCGAACACGTAGCGAAGACAAAGGTTTATTTGATTAGCGCGAAGAAGGCTCGAGTAGAAGGAGAAGGAGGGGCCGTGGGTCGGGTAAAGATTCCTATAATGATACGGTGTAGTCGTAACTCAGTTGATAGCATCAGTCAATAACGGCAAATAGAACTTAATTGACCCATCCAACCATACCCACCTCGCTTCACGCGTTTTTACTTTATTGGTTTCTCTTACAATAGCTTTCTTTTTCTAAAAGGGAGGTTTTTATAAGTAAATCAATTTTTATGATAGGGAGGATTAAATTATGAGGGTTGTGTTTATCGAAGGATTCAGAAGAGACCGGTTTTCTTGATATTAAGTCGATCTTTAATGTTTTACAGACCAATTTTATAAGACTTCACTTCCAGTAAAAACCTCAATCACTTGAGTAGGAGTTTCACCAGGCCAGAGTGTAGTCAAAATGTTGATCTTGTCCTAAAAATGATTACATAGTCATTACTTACGTTAATGTAGAAACTTATTAACTATTGGTCTATTGATTTACTTGTGTAGGTACCTACTTTGTTTTACTAGCGATTTCCTAAGTAGCCTACGCGTTCTAAAATCTTACATTAAAATCCATCAATTTTAACTGTGTTCTAAAACGTTCAATGACCTTCAATAATAATATGCCTACAGTTCAGGGAAATAACGTACGTAATGAGACGGATCTTCTATAAGAAATTTCCATTTGATTTTTATGGCTTTCGTCGTTTTAGCTGGATCTATATTGCACGATAATTACGTTATTCTAATAATTTCTCCGCTTGCTTTGATGTTTAAACCCTTGGTAGGGAAACGATCCCAACCAATTGAATTGTCCAAGCACAACTAGCATTAATTGCACATCTTCTGTGAATCTTAAAACATGGTTAGGCCAAAGATCGAAGCTCCATAAGAAAAACATGACATTGGAGGAGATTATAAATAGAAGCAAGAATACGCGGAAAACATAAGTGTTAGCAACGCGGTGTGTGTGTAAGCAACATAGACGCTTATAAAATTTTCATTTCATTATACCGGGTGTTTCAAAAATCAGTTTACTGAGTAAGTGTATTTGTTTGAAGTAAATATATGATGAATCAATTTTATTTATATTACATAATTTTATTGAAACTAAATTTACACCGCACTTAGGTTCTAAACTAAAGAACTGGTCAAAATGCTTTCCATTAACTTCAATGCATTTTTCACTGTTTTTTACAATTGCAACAATCTTTTTACTTAGATTTGTATTGTTGTATTAGACTTCAAATTGTCTTGCGATGGCTGCTCTCAATTGCAGAACATCTAGTGGCTGTTCGGGCTAAAATTTTATTTTAAACGATTCCCCAAATACAAAAATCTATCAGTGTAAGTAATTCTTTGTTTGAAGTTCATTGTTGGTGATGGTGAGTTAATGTTGTTCAAAGGTTTATTGCGGACATTTTCCATCACGAATGTAAAAAAACAATACACCCACATACATACATAGAGTGTATTGTTTTTTTTACATTCGTGATGGAAAATGTCCGCAATAAACCTTTGAACAACAGTGTAAGTAAGATCGCAGGACCTTGGGGACCAATCAATAAGCAAGATAATTTGAAGCCTTAACCAACTAAAAAATATACGCAAACAGATGGTTAAAAGTGTAAAAAAAACTCTGTGAAAAATGCGTTGAAGTTAGTGGAAAGCATTTTGAACAATTACTTTAAGTTTCCAACCTATGTGTAGTGTAAATTCAGTTTCAATAAGTTTTAATATAAATAAAATTGATTTATTATTTGCTTCAAACAAATACACTTACTCGGTAAACTGATTTTTGAAACACTCGGTATTTCCGGTATTTCCTGTTTACTGTATTTAAAATAATATGGATGTTGACCAACTTATAGGTTTGTCTGCAATCAAGATTTCAGTTCATCCAGTTTTCAGCAAAAACATTACTGTACCATTCGCTCATTAGATTATATTTTCTTTACTCCAAACCTTTAGGCAGATTATTTTATAATTTGCAGTAATTTTCCCTACGTAATATTAGACGATATTGCATGTCCAATTTTCAATGTTTAATCCATCTTTAATTTTTATCAAGAATAATATTTAATGCTCCTAACTATTCACAATAGTAGTATGTAGTCTCAAAGATACGTCAACGTTTGTTTCAAGAGGCCGTTTCCATTTATAAAGTAGTATGGAAGTATGGTTGTACTATAAAACCCCCTTCCATTAAAATCCGTGCGAAAATGTAATTTCTTTGGTACAATGCACACTCAATTGTAACACACACTCACGGATAATACACTAAATCATTAGAATCGCGTTAATCTATTGCTGAATTAAAACATAAGTCAATCTATAAATTATTTCGGGGTTTAATCTTACAGCCAGTAGCCTATAGACCATACAATATTCCATTAACCATTTTCGCAATACACTACAATTTCGAAATATGTAGCCTACCTATGGCACTATTTCACAACTACAATAGACAATCTTGATATTCATAATAGTTAATATTATCGCTCCGACATCGACATGAATAGACATGTTTCTCCAAACCTAAACCTAAGCTCTACCTCAGTTCTAACGGTACGTCAGCACTAAGCGCACTAAGCAGTAAATCAGAGCACACCTATTTATCAGCAACTGACTTTTAGTAGTTTCAGGAAGTAACTTCAAAAGCCTCCACCTGGTTCAAGAAATGCATTTTTGAGTTGTAAAATCTATTTTAGCGAATTCTTCTCGTACTTGTAAGTATCGTTAAATCGAAAAGGGTGTATGTTTAATCTATTTTGCCAGCTTTTGTTTTCCAAGAATTATTTCACAGATGTGTGATAAAACATACTTCAGTCACCTTTATACTGCAACGTAAACCTTGATAACTTCATCCCATTACCATAGAATTCAAAGCAAAGTGTTACTAGTGTTTAAAATGCTTTGATTTAAGCACTGTATTTAAAGATGCGTTTTGAGTTTTAAAATCTATTTTAGCGAATAAGTCTAGTATAAGTGTAATAATGTTAAAATATATAAAGGGGGGGGGGTGATTAATCCATGGTATCACCTTTAATTTTAAAGAAGAATTTGGAAACGTGTGGTTTTAACGTAAAATCTGTAGTTTAGAGCATGCTAGGAAGTTTTGATATGACGGTAATAGTATAAAAGAATTAGACAACTTTATTTTACTAAAATAGTTGGGAGGTTGTTGAAATAATAGAAAATAAACGGTTAACACCAAAACGCATCCTTCAACCACCGGGTATAAACATGGCATCTTTTATCCAGCTGATCCATTTTGTGTAGTTTGACCTTATAAAACCACGTTTTAGGCCCCGGCCACACGAGGCGGTTTAACCGCGCGAAGATAAGCCGCGCGAAGTTAAGGGCTTCGACAACACATTGAATCAAATGAGAGTGGCCACACGAGGCGAAGTTTAGCCGCATGTGCGGTTGAGCCGCAACATGTCGTCCCCCGACCGCGCGAAGTTAAGCCGCGTTGGAGGGGATGACACACGTAGGAGAGAAGCCACACGATACGGTTCGACCGCGCGGCAGCCGCGCTTATTGGAGATATTCTTCGGACATTTCCAGTGGTTTTTGAGTTTGTTTTGTGTATTTTTTACCGGTTGTGTGGTGTTCAAACAATGTTTGATACATATGAACTCCGAACTATGGTTTCGCATGTGCTCGTAAAAGGTTTGGAACACAAAACATTGTTTTCCGTTATGAAGGGATGGACTCAATGATTTATGTTAACGTTCCAGATCACCACACGCTTTTAATGCACAAACTAACATAGTGTTTCGCCCATGACTAAAAAGAGTGAACTGAACTATGTTTTAATAGAGTACTGATACTGTGAAAACCCAACAGGAA